TACAAGAGTGTGGAAAATTGAGACAGTACCCTTCCAGTGTAACCACCCCCAACATCTCATATTCCTTGTTTTAACTCTGAAGTCATTGTTTAAATTGTAAAACACAGCATCTACGTCCTTATTGTGTTGTGGTTAAAGAAAAGTTAGAGATTGTTGGGGGGATCCTGTATTTATTCAGTCTGTACAATTTTTCACAGATAGATTTTTCTTTACTTAGCTTGATGTCTTTTGGTGTCTATTGAGAATGATTTTAGTTTAACATGATTCTCTGTGGCTGATTGCACGCTTTCATGAATTCATGCCAAAACTTCTGTAATTTCCCCAATCAGTGAAATATTTTAGAGATAATGTAAAAAAAAAGGTCCTATGATATGGGAGAATTCCTTCAACCCAAGTTGCTTTCGTCCTCAGCCTGAATGCAGCGGAAGTGTTTAAGTTGTGCCAAGTTACCCTAAGGGAAAAGAATTTGAATGGGGACATTTGAACCTTCCACAAATCACCCAGATGTACAAGTGTCTTATTAATCTAAAACTATGAGCTCATATTTTCCTTCTCTTTCACCATCCAAGTTTGTAGTTACCCTCCCAGAATTGCCCATGGACACTACAAGAAAGTTATTTTATTGACTTCTACTCCTGAAGCTACATATGAATGTGACAAAGGCTATGTTTTGGCTGGATTTGCTACAATTTACTGCAAGTCTTTCCAGTGGATTCCTTCACCTCCTCAATGTAAAGGTAACTACAGCTCCACTCACCATCCACGGAAGATAGAATTAGAAAATATTGAGGGCAATATTTCCTGTTGATCAAAGGCAGCATAAGTTTTGTCATTTATCTTATTAAATATTTAAATCATGCCTGGTAAACTTCAAAACCTCACTGATAGGTACATTGAAAATGAACTTTACTTCCTACATCAGTCCTCTGAATCTCAGGTCACCTCTTGTCCAGAGGCAACCACTACTACAAGGTTCTTAGGTATCATTACAGAGTATCTAGAGACAATGTCTTTTAACTGAGAATATCTTTGTGGCTTTAATAAAGATTTTACAAGAATCTTCCTTTATAGCCCTGTGTCTGCAACCAGAGATTGAAAATGGAATGCCGTCTGTGGCTAAGAATCACTATGTTGAACCTGAAAATGTCACCATCC